CTGCACACGCTCTTTCTACTGTGTGAAATAACCTTCCCCTCCTCATCCTCCCCCTCCAAATCTCACTCAACCTTGAAGATCAACTTTATTTTTATTTATTTGTCATTATTCATTATTTATTTATTTAATATATTTATAAATATTTTATATATTTATATATAAATATATAATAGATATTTATATGTAATTAAATATATAAATTAAATATAATAGATTTATATATATAAATATATATTTCTTTATTTGGTTTTCATTTATCTTACCTTCTTACAAAGAACTTTGGCTGATTTCTTCTCTCTGAAGTCTGACTTTCTCAACTAAAGTTGCTCGCCTAACATATACACACACCCCATGTGTCTCCCAAATCACTTGATCTCTTGTCTCCCTCCCTGGATGGCATCTCTTGTCTCCCTCCCTGGATGGCAAGTTCTGTGAGGACAACATGTGGGCTGATTCCTTCCTGTTCTCCACACCTCCACTGAGCTGGACCACAGGTGGGATTTTTTTTTTTAAATTATTCTTTTTAAGTTGTTTTTTTGTTTTGCTTTGTTTGTTTGTTTGTTTGTTTTACAAGGCTATCTTGCATAGACTCTGATCCATACCCTGCAATCCTGTGTCTACTTCCGCACTTCCATGAGGGAATGCCCTTTTCTGAATCATCTCAGTGTCTGATATTTTCTAGTTCTTTCCATCCCTCTAGACTGTCTTCAGCACTGTTGATGCTGCAGGGTCCTGGAATCTGCTCTCCTTCCCCCACCCTCCCTGCCCCCAAAGCAGTCCTGTCTTTCAGTCATCAGCAGTTAACTTCTGGACAAGGAAGGCTGGGCTGGAGAAGCCAGAGCTCTGGGTGAGTGAGAGATGGGCACATCTGGAATAGGGGCTGAACTGGAAGTCAGGCCCAGCGGGGTCCATCTGAAAACACCAGTGGGGCCAGCGACCCAAGCAATGGCCAGCCAAGAGGGCAGCCATCGGGCCCAGAGCAAAGTGTCTCCTTTGGGTCAGCTGAGCAGGGAGCCCCTCGTTTCCTTCCCTGAGGGACGCCCTTTGGCAGGACCCGGGGCTCCTGGATCTGCTTAAGAGGCAGATTTTGTTGGTTTAGTTACGCTACAAGGCTTCTGTGTCTGCCTGGGCTGTTACAGACTACAGATTCCTGGTACCCATCTGATTGAACAACTTCATTAAATTGCAATAAAAGGAAAGTGGGCTGGATGTGCACTGGGAGAGGAAGCAGGTGGCTGAGTCCGGCGCCTGCTTCCTGAGCCCAGTGCCTTTCCCATCCTGCCTACAGGCCCCAGGGCAGGCAGTGGTAATGGAGTTCTGAACTCTAGTGTTGGACACAGAAGATTCTCAAGGGCTATTTTCTTCATGAGCCTGCTCATACCAGTGGCAGGGAAACCGAGGTCCAGTGAGGCCAGCCGAACTCTCTGAAGCTTCTCAGGGAGGCATTAGGAGAAGCAACAGTGAATCTCCAGGACTTTAGAACTGCTCATTGGGACATATCTCACTCCACCAAGTGGGAGAAAAAAATTGTTAGAAAACACTAAGACCCTTGTTCTTGAGGAGCACCCTTTCCTGGAGCCCCAAACTTGTTTGTTCCTTGTTTTTTGGTAACAGCTTTATGGAAATATAATTCACATACTGTACAATTCGTTCATTTAAAGTGTATAATTCAATGGTTTGTAGTATGTCCACAGCATTGTGCCAACTTCACCATAATTAATTCTAGACGATTTTCATTACTCCCCAAAGCAACCCAGTACTTTTCACCCCAGGTCCCTCAAGCTCCCTGTTCCTCCTAATTCTACTAATCTACTTGCTGCCTCTATTATTTTCTGCCTCTGGAACTTTTATATGAATAAATCATATCATTTTTGCCCTTTTGTGACTGGTTTCCTTTATCTGGTGTAACATTTTCAAAACTGATCTGCACAGAAGCATGTATCAGTACTTCATTCCTTTTTCTGGACAGATAATATTCCAGCATGAGAATATATCACATTTTGTATGTCCACTCATCTATAGATGGACATTTGGGTTGTTTGTCCTGTCTAGTTATCTTCAACAATACTACTACTTTGTGTGGATGAATGTTTTCAACTCTCTTTCCAGCTAGGAGTGGAAAGACCTGTTCGTTCTTGCAACTTATTAACAATATCCGTAACAACGCTGGTGGAGATCCAAAGTATTGTGCACAGATTGACTTAGAAAAATAGGGCAGGAGGGGCCCCTGGGTGGCTCAGTCAGTTAAGCGTCCATCTCTTGATTTCGGCTCAGGTCATGATCTCAGAGTTGTAAGATTGAGTCCTGCATCAGACTCTGCACTGAGTGTGGAACCTGCTTAAGGTTCTCTCTCTCTGCCCCTCCCTAGCTCAATTTCTCTCCTCTCTCTCTCTCTTTCCCTCTCTCTCTCTCTCTCTCTCTATATATATATATATATTTATATTTATATTTATATTTATATTTATATTTATAAGGAAGCTGGATGGAGAAAGAGAGGCACAGAGAGGTTAACTCTTCTGACTCTGGTCACACAGCCATAAGAGAGGGCCATGAAGGAAGAAGTCATAGCTGGTACTCATGACAATTAGCCAATGAAACTTTTATAATTTTAGGAAAAAAAGCCTTGGAACATTTTAAAAATCACACACACATTCACTGGCCTCATTGCTTTAATTATAAGGGTCCATTTTTAACTTGATCAGGTCCTTTGTTACCCTCTGTCTGCCTTGTGTCTTCTAACTCCCCATGTCACCCTCCCTCTCAGTGGAATGAACTCCTCCCCCCACCTCCCAACTGTTTTACCTCATCCTTACCAAGAGCAGTGGGAGCTCTGGAGCCTCGGGGAACAGGGATTCTTTAAAGGACTTCTCTTTTGTCACAGCTGCAGTTCTCAGAGCTCTGTGTGTGGGACACATGGAGCCACACTATTCTCTCACACCATCCAGGCACTCTGGCCTGCTCTGCATCTGTCGCCAGATGTGTGCTCACTGAGACTGAGGTGGGTCTGGATACCTAGTTGCTTGAACCATATGAAATTGCCAACATAAGTTATTTCTGACCTATAAAACCAGCAATCTCATGTGGTTCAACCTGCAAGTCTCTGGTGTCCCCGTCCTTCCCTTCCATGTTCTGGTCCCCCGCGTGGCTGGAAGACACAACTTCAGGTCCTGCCACTGGCCTTCTGTTCCAAGGTCCCTCCCAGGAGTCTTCACTGAGCCTCCAAGCTGTGTTAGGAGACCTTCCTCTCTGTTTGTAATTTGCAGTGCTTCTGTCTGTCCTAGCACTCATTGTCTGATTTTAACTGCCTCTTTGCATGACTGTCCCTGCCTTTCTCTCTAGGCTATGGGTTCCTGACAATTCTACCTAATCCCATACTTCAGTCTTTTTTGTCAGCATAGGAGGAATTAGTGAACTTTCATTTAATAGCACTAAGCAAGGGTGACTGTGACTCAGTTTCCCCACTTGCTGAAAATGGCCCAGAAGCCTGTGCCCTGCCCTTTGGCTTTCTCTAAGCTTCATTCGCTTCTCAGGAAGAGAAGGTTGGTTTTAAGGGCTCTCTCAATTCCTGTGGTGTAAGGTTTGGTAGTATGAATCTTCCCTGTTCCCTGGCCGTTTACAGGGATCCTGGGCAGGTCCAAGGAAGTTAATGAGAAAAGACTGTTTAAGTGGAAGGTGCGAAGGAGTTGTGAGGAAGACTACTTTGTTGTTTTGTTTTGTTTTAATTCAGCTAGAGTTTGCAGAGCACCTACTAAGCACATGCCAGTGTTAGCCAGGAGCAGTGTGATACAAAGTTGTAATTACCAGCTTCCCTGGTTTCCCTTTGAGTGCTGCCTTCCCCCCCAGTCTGGGAGTGCCTGCCCACTCCTGCCTCTGTCGCTGTTAACTCCCGCCAGGACCTGCGCATCAGATGCTTTAGGGGATGCTGGTCCGCGTCCCCGAATTCATCGCCCAGCCCTGTCCACGGAAGAGCCCACTGAAGTTGGCCGAGCGGAGCCTCGGCCCGGGCGCCCCCTGGTGGCCGCGCACGGAAGCTACGGCCGGCGGGGAGCGGGCCAGGGGAAGGGGGAGCGATGGGGGAGGAGGAGGCACGGGCAGGGGAGGAGAGGAAAAAGTTGCGCTGGGAAGTTTGGAAAGTGGGGAAGTGGCTGCTGCGGGCTTCGCCTCCCTCCGCGCGTGTGTGAGGGAGCGAGCGAGGGAGCGAGAGAGGAGCGAGCGAGCGCCTGCCATGCCCATCAGACCCCGCCTCGCTGCGCCCGGGCGCGGAGCTCGCCCCGACTCCCTGCGGCCCGGCCCGGCCCGGCGCGGCCCGGCGCGGCCCCGGCCCCCCGCCCCCCGCGCCGGGTCCTCCCCTCCCCCCGCCCCGGCGGCCCCAGCCCCCCGCCCGGCCCGGCTCCGCGCCGCTCTCCCGCCCTCCTCCCTCCCTCCCTCCCGGCCGCTGAGCAGCATGGCGGAGCCCGGGCAGCGGCCGCGCGGCCGCCCGCCGCCCCTCTGAGCCCGGCTCTGGGGCAGCCGGGCGCCCCAGACCCGACCCCCGCCCCGCAGCGCCCGCCGCCGCACTTGTCCCACCGCGCGCCCCCTGGAGCGCCGCGCACCCCTGGGACCCTTGCGCGCCCGGCTCCCCGCGTAACCCGGGACCCCGCGCGCCCTGGGAGCCCGGTACCGCCCCGGGACCCCGCGCGCCCCTGGACCGCGACGCAGCTCCGGGACGTCGGCGCGCTCCGGTACCCGCGCGCTCTCAGAACCCCGGACTCGGCCAACGGGGCTGCGCGCCTGGGGAGGGGCCCCGCCTCAGAGGGTCCCCCTCTTCCAGCAGACGGAGCCCCGCCCCAGAGGGACCCCCAGGTCCGGCAGGGACACCCAGCCCCGCCCCAGAGGGCTCCCAGCATCCCGCCGCTGGAGCCCCGCGTCCCGGAGGAACCTCCGTGCCCAGCTGGGGGCTCCCCGCCCCGCCGAGGGGGCGCCGCCCAGGAGGGTCCCCGCGTCCCGCGGGCCCCGGCAGGATGCACGCCGCCCTGGCGGGGCCGCTGCTCGCCGCCCTCCTCGCCACCGCCCGCGCCCGCCCGCAGCCCCCGGACGGAGGACAGTGCCGGCCGCCCGGATCGGTGAGCGAGCGCCTGCCCAGCCACTCTCCCGGCCGCCCAGCCACTCCAACCCGTGGGGACGAGGGCTGGGGGGTCCTGCCTTCCGCACCCGCCTCAGCCCACCCGCTCCATCTCTGCTCGCCGGGCGCTGCCTCGGGCGCCCTTCCCCGGCTCCTGCCGCCCGGGCTCCAGCTCCGCGCCGGGAGCCGAGATGGGGCGCTCCCTCTCCAGCTCCTTCTCCACGCGCTGACGCTCTCGGGCTCTCCTCGACTTTCGCTCCTGGTCCTGCTTGGACGTTTCCTTCCTCTACCCCTTTGACTCGCTTCTTTCTTACTTTATCCTGTCTTTACCCTTCTGCTTGCTCTCTGCCCACTTCTGACCCTGTTTCTACCATCCCTTGTCCTTCTCTGTGCTGACTTCCATCAGACCTTTCCTCTCTCCAATTTCCACTCTGTCCCTCTCACAGGCTTCTCTCTCCCCGGTCCTCCCACTCTAACCTAAGGCAAACTTTCTCCCTGGTGCTGGTTCCCATCTCTGTCTCCCTCTCCAGCCCAGGGCCCAGCACCCAGTCTCCCAACTGCCCCCATTTCACAAAAAGGAGGAAGATTCCAGAGGAGAGGAAAAGGAAGTGCCAGCGCATGCTGGCCTAATATCTCCTTGGGAGCTGAGTAATTACTGGTTCTTCTAAATTTTCCTTCTCAACTACAGAATCCCTTGATTTCTCTCAGTCTCCCTCCCTCCAAGTGTAAATTGATGCATTGAAAATAACACTTATTTGGAGGCCGGGGAACAGGAAAAGGCTTTGTAGGGTCCTTGCTCACTGCTGGGTTAGCAGGGAGTAGTTGACCTTGGGCAAGGTGCACTTCCAGTGTCCTGATTTTCGCAGGAACTGGGAGGTCGGTGGCCAGTTGGGAGCGCGGGGCAAGTCTAGCTCCCCTATGCTAGGATTCACGATTTTTAGTTGTTAGTAAAATAAGGTAATGATCTCCCACCCACCTTGTCACACAGTTTTCATTTGTGCTGGAATCAGGCAGAAACATTTTATAGGTTGACCTCGGGCTGCAGGTGGTCATAGCCCGTCCAGGGGCTTTTCTGGTTGGAAAATGACTTTGCCTGGGAGAAATGATAGTCTCTTTCTTGTGTGCCTTAAGTCCTGGTCCAGTGCTAGATCTGGAGAAAGGACCTCTGTGTCCATGCCCCTCCTCACCCCCACAAACACTTCTCAGAGCTTCAGATCTTAGAAGATGACAGAGTTGGAGTTGAGGCCAGGTATAGCGTTTTAGGGGAGGAGCCGGAAGCCCCAGGGTATGTACCTTTCTTGGGACTAAGTCCGAGTATTTAGCCTGCAGCTTTTAAAGTGCTTTCTCATCTGTGGTGGAGCCAAGCAGCATACACTCCAGGCCTTCCCTCAGACTAGAACGCCGGATCCGCCCCGGTGAATGGGAAGTAGCTGTTTAAATAGGTGTGCTATTTTTAATAGGTGTTCTGCTTTCAAAGTGCTCTTGGCATGTATCTTCTAATGGCTGGATTTAAAAGTTATATGACTTCCTCCCTTCTTGCCAGAGCAGGACTCTTGGTTCCCCTCTCCCCCACCCTCCACACGCAACACCACCGGGGAAGGTTTGGCTTGGCCGGGCACGATTGTTCTCAGGTGCTGCGGCGGTCCTTGGCCCTCACAGGGAAAGCTAATCGGAACGAGAGCTTCCTTTGGTGTGTGCCTCCTCTGTGCCTGGCGCTGCTCTTAGGGCTCACTAACGGGTGTTTTATCTTGTCACCCTCCCCTGAGGTGCTGCTCTCACCCCCATTTCACAGATGGGGAAACCGAGTCTGTGGAAAGCGGAACAGTGTGCTTAAGATCATGCAGCTAAGACAGGGCAAAGGCCGCATTTGAATGTCAGTCTTCCTGCTTCCGAAGTCCTTGCTCTTGCCCTGAGCCCTTGTGGGCCTCTGCCTCCCAACCCACCCCCACCCGCGTCTCCCTGGGCTACCCCTGGTTTCCTGCACTGCCTGTGGCCTCACTGCCTGCCTTCTCTCCCACTGCAGCAGAGGGAGCTGAACTCCTTCCTGTGGACGATCCGGCGTGACCCCCCAGCGTACCTTTTTGGCACCATCCACGTGCCCTACACGCGCGTGTGGGACTTCATCCCGGACAACTCCAAGGCAGCCTTTCAGGCCAGCGCTCGAGTCTACTTTGAGCTGGACCTGACCGACCCCTACACCATCTCGGCACTGGCCAGCTGCCAGCTGCTCCCGCACGGCGAGAACCTGCAGGACGTGCTGCCGCGGGAGCTCTACTGGCGCCTGAAGCGCCACCTGGACTATGTGAAGCTGATGATGCCCTCATGGATGACACCGGCGCAGCGGGGCAAGGGGCTCTATGCCGACTACCTGTTCAACGCCATCGCGGGCAACTGGGAGCGCAAGAGACCCGTGTGGGTGATGCTCATGGTCAACTCGCTCACGGAGACGGACGTGCGCTCCCGCGGCGTGCCAGTGCTGGATCTCTACCTGGCCCAGCAGGCCGAGAGGATGAAGAAGAGCACCGGGGCCGTGGAGCGGGTGGAGGAGCAGTGCCACCCTCTTAATGGGCTCAACTTCTCCCAGGTAGGCCCTTGGCTGAACCGGGCAGCCCTGCTGTCCTTCTCTTCGATGGCCTTCCTCCTTCAGGAGCCTTCCTATGGGAGAGGCTCTTTCCTATGGGAGAGGCTCTTTCGGGTGGGGACGTCACCTCTCAGGCGACTTGAGTGGCGGGTCGGGGGCAAGCTGATATGTGCTAGAATTCGGGCTAAGAGTTGGGGTGTCTGCTTCTATGTCAGCATGCTACCTGTTGGGTTTAGGCACTCCCCACTTGCTGTGCTTGCCTGAGCGGAAAGAATTTTCCTGGGAGCATCAGAGTGAGGAAAACAAAAAGAGCAAGCTGTAGGTTTATGTCCAGCTTCCCTGAGGCCTCCCGGGGTCTCAGGAGCAGGAGGCTGTCCCGAGGTGGTTCCGTGAGCCCACCTGGGCAGCAGCGTGTATGGACAGAGGGTGCGCAGAGGGAGTCGTGGTTCCTGCAGCTTTGGGGGCAGGGGACGTGTCCCGGACCCAGTGCCCCGTGGCTCTGGCTGGCTGTTGAGGGTTAAGCACTTCTGAGTTGCCCACCCCATCCAGCAGCCTGGGCCCGCTCTTGCATGGCTCTAGGCGACCCTCGGACTGCCTCCCTGGGCCTGGAGAAAGTCAACAAGGAGAGTTTTGGGGTTAATAATTTCAGAGCAGTCTGTTCACTTAAAGGTTGACAGTTCTGGTTTCTGGACCTCGAGAGCAGGGGCAGTGGGGGAAGGGAAGAGCTTTGGGGGTTTAAAATCTCCGGCTGCCAGAGACCCGATCCAGCAAAATGTCATTAAAAGCCCCATCTCCGTGGGCAGAGGTCACTTGTAACTCACTGGCCCCAAACTCAGCTCGGAGACCCTGGGAACAATGAGTTCACATCTGTGCCTGGAGGACAGGCTGTCAGTCTGGAGACGGGGGCTCCACGTCAGGGCTGGTGGCTCCGGCAAGGTGGCGCAAAAACAGGGCTTGGGCCAAGGTGCCGGGTGGGGTGCGGCCCCCAAGGCATGCTTCTCCGTTCAGGAGGCAGCCTCATAAGTTGGCCAGGCTAGAAACTACCACTGGGACTAGACCTGCTTGCTGCTCCCAGGATGTGGCAGACTCTTCCCCAGGGAAACAGTGGCCGAAACCGATCCCCCTTTGGAGATCTTCTGGCCTTTGTTTTTCCAGGGGAAATGCAATATTGTCCCCAGGGAGGTAAGAAGCCAGATTGATTTGCCGGCCAAATGAAAGAAGGGTTTGTCGGTTCTCCTGCTGGCTCTCCCATAATTGTGGAGTCCTTACCCAGAGGGCCCCGGTGGCAGGAATATTGGGGCAGTTAGTCACGCCCCGCAGGGTTCTGACTACGCCTGACTCCTTCTCCACGGGGGAAAATCCTGTGCATTCTCTGGCCCGGGCCCTGAAGCCTCTGCACATAGCGGCTTTCTCCCTCTGAAGTGACTTTTCTCTTGCCAGCCTCGGGAGCTGATATTATCTGTGTCGGGCTCCACAGCGCTCACCGCCCATCTCATTTTGGAGGCAGGTTTGTGGGAGGCCTCTCTGTTCAGAGACCTCACGTCTGGCCTCGATATCTTTTTTAGGCCGGGGAGGTGGGGAATCCGAGATCACTGTCCGCACCCTCTTTGTACCAACCACAGAGGAATCGGAGGAGAGCTAGAGGGAGCCTAGAAAGCCCTCTGGTGCAAGAGCCCCTGGCTTTAATCTGTCTCTCTTAAAACAACAAAACTATCTTTCTTCGGTGTCTGGAAACATTGCTGTTCAACCAAATGACGGCTTTGGTAGGTTGAGAACATTTGCTGGCAAGTGTGTGAAGTTACGTTTTAGGAAAAGTTCCTGAGAGCCATTTATCGGCCAGCAAGGAGCCCGCTGACAGTCTCCAAAGCCCATGTTTGAAGATCAAACGGACTCAAATCTCTGGTTTCAAAAATGCGCCCACCCCATCCACCAGCCTGGGCGCGCTCTTAAAATTGTTCTTGGGTCGAGCTCCTCGAGAGGGCTGTAGGAAGCAAGCCCGGAACAAAAGAAAGCAGGATTCCTCTTGGTTCCCTAATCTGCACACCCTTCACCACCTGCCAGAGTGTCCGACCCCCGCCAATTTGTCCTGTTATCATTTTGGAGCGAGGTGCTGAAATCTCTCCTCCATCCCCGTGGGCAGCTGCGGGCTGACTGGGAAGGGAGGGATTCCAGGGCTTGGGCGGATGGCCGTGTTAAGGGTCCTCAACCCCAAAGTCAGAAACGAGCAGCCTTCTCCGTAAAATTGTATGTGCGCGTGCACAGTTTGATATGAACATCTGTGATGCATTATTGTACCAAAATATCTGTTAAGTGCATCAGATTTTTATTTTTTCTTTCCTCTCAGCATTACTGTTATTGCAAAATATTTGGTGCGGGGAAACAATGAGAGAGGAAGGCGGGAAAAAGGAACCTTTAAAGAGAGAGACTTTTTGTTAAGAGCTAGGGTTTTCGTTTGAGTTTTAGTATTTCTCAAATTTTTATATTTTCTTCTAGGCAGACATCGCACATGTTTCCTTTGCTAAGTGGAGAAAGAAAGCATACATTTTAGGATTCCATGGGGAGGAGGAGCCCCTGAAAACGTGTCTGGTCTCTGATTTCAATATAAACTGAGAGGGCTGGGCCCAGCATGAACGTGGGTTTGCAGTATGACCTTGGGCAAGTCAGTTCCCCTCTCTTGGCCTACTTTTTCCTGCCTGTGAGATGAGATGCCGGGATTAGGTCATTATTGAAGCCCCTTCCAGGCCTGACATTCCACGGGACAGTTGGACTCCATTCCACCTGCCAGGCCCCCTGCACGCAGGAGGCAGCTTTTCCATTTTGGTGGATGCTGGCTCAGGTGAGCGCTCAGAAAGTCTGGACTACTTGCCCAAGGTCACGTGGCTGATGAGGCACAGAGCCGGTCTAGCTGGCCCTAGATGAAGCCTTCCCGCTTCCTGCTGCCCCGTGCCCATTCCATATTTCCTGTCCTTCTCCGATTCTTCCTTCAGTCCTTCCTGTTGTTTCTTTCTCCCCTTTAGGGCTCAGGGGCCTAACATTTTACTTCTTGGAGCACTTCTACTTACAGAGAAAGTATTTTGTTTGGCTATGCGGTTGGAGTGATGATGGTGAAGGCCCTGCTGTGTTAGACAGCTCACACAGCAGCTGAGAGATAGCAGACTTGCTTCTGGGTTTCAGTCCCTGCTCTGGCTCTAAAGCCAATGACTCAGGTATAACTTGGTGTTGCCGTCTGTCAGATGGGGCAGGGGTGACCAGCCTTCCACAATCGAGCGGGTTTTGTGAGGCAAAGAGAAGACACTGCTTGTGTGTAAAATGACTACTTCGATGTAGGTCCTGTGCTTGGGAAACAGTTAGGGCAGGTCTCCAGGACAGGGGAAGAGGGAGGTGCCAGGGGACGCCTCATCTCTGCCCTGTGGCACCTTCTCCATCAGCCATATCCACGCCCATTCTTTGTAGAACAGAGCAACGCTGGAGTGGGGTAGTGGCAGCCCCTGCCCACAGGGACCTGGGGATGCCTGAGCCTTGAGTCCAGATCTTGTGACAGTCTTGGGACCTGCAGATTTCAATCGGCTCTGTCGGCTGCCTCCCGAGACTGGCACTGGCTGCCACTAACTAGCGGGGCTGATCAGGGGACGTCCTTCTCCCTCTAGGGGGCCTCAGTCCTCCCCCACCCGTAACAGTGGACACACTGGATGAGAATGCCTCTAATTCTCTCCAGGCACAACATAGCAAGGACCCCGCCATTCTGTACTTGGCTGTGTTGTAACAGACATGTGGACGTTACCCAGCCGATGTGGGTGCCTGAGCCCTCAGGCATGGTGGCCAAGGGCGTCCAGAGTGTTTGTAAAATTCTTCAGCCCCCTCACTAGAGAGTTAGAAACCACGAAACCATCATTGATTGAGCTCTGCCTCCACACAGGGCCCTGTGTTATACCTCATAAGTACATATTCTCTGGTGCTCATGGAGATGTGACAAGTCATATCGTCATGTCTCTTTCACAGACAATAAATGGGGGCGGTGCTCACACAGCCACGCTGGGGGACTCAGCATTCCAACTCAGGTGTGTCTGACGCTAGAGCCCAAGATTTTCAGGCATCTGAAAGATGAGTTCATTTTTGTTTTTAGTAGTCAGATGACACTACCTGGTGACGTGTGTGTGTGTGTGTGTGTGTGTGTGTGTGTGTGTGTTGGAATTGGGGGAGATAATCATTTTTTGCCAAAAATGAAATAAAATATGATAGAGATCATTGAAATGGGCCCAAATTGATTTTCCCCTTGGCTTATAAATTGGATCTGAAGGTGATTCGAAAAGAGAAATTCCCAAAGATACTCTGCGCATGAGTTTCGTTCTTGGAAGAAGTCCTTAGCTTTCCAAGGGACCACTGTGAATCTGCCCCTAACACTGGCTAAGTCCGCACGGTTGAACAAAGAAGAGTCTCCTTATAGTCAGAGTGCCTGTACTTATACCCTGAGGGGCCAGCACATGTTATTAGGTGCTCAACAAATACTTGGGGAATGAAAGAATGAATGAATGAATGGTCAGACATCATGTTATGACCATCCTGCTTCCCTTCGGCCATCTTGCACTAAGGGATGAGTGAATGAATGGGGACTGTATAAGCCACAGTGAGGAACCTCCTCCTTGAACTTGAATAGCTCCGTGCATTCCTACGGGGACACAAAATGTCGACATCATCAAGCGGGTAGTGCACATACAAAGCAGGTTCTAGCCCTCACCTCATTCCTCCCTTGCCTGTGACTTTGGGCTAGTCCTTTTCCCTCTTTGGGCCTCGGTTGCTCCCTCTGTCCCTCGAGGGGTGGGCTGGATAATTTCCAGGGTCAGCACCATTCTGACTTCTCCGGCGCTCATCTCTGGCCCCCACATCTTAAAGGCCCGGGGCCACCCTGAGGTTTGAGCCTGGGTGGGGCTGATAGTCTAATCTTCGGCAGGCCGCTGCTGATACCTAATTATCTGGAAGCCTGTTGGTTCCGGTAGGTGATCCTG